CATGACCAAACTTAGGACCTTGTGCTTGCAAGGCAGGCACAATGACACTGAACTAAATCCCTGTCCCCTCAGATGTTCTTTGTCATGGAAGTGTTTTATTTCTGCATCAATTTAAAAAGTTTTGTAGGATACATCAATCTGGGTTGGAGGTTGTTTTCCTTTAGGAATTGAAATACTTCACTCTAAGTTCTCCTTGACTTAAAGGTTTATGTTGAGAAGTCTGTTGTGATTCCGATGAGCTTTTCTTTATAGGTGATTTTTTTCTTTTCTCTAACAGCTTTTAATATTCTGTTTTTGTGTTGGAATTCTGGAATCTTGACTATTATTATATGCCTTGGTATATGTTTTTCTTGATCATGGCTAATTGGAGTTCTGTATGCCTCACTTATCTGTATGTCAAATTCTTTTTCCCTGTTTGGAAGGTTTTCTGCCATTACTTATGTGAATAGTTTGGGTTTTTTTTGTTAATATCATTTGCACTATCTCTTGCTTTTTCACTGACTTTGATCAATCTTATGTTCTTCTTTGCATCATCTAGCAGCTGCGGAATGATTTCCCATAGTTGCTGCTATTTTTAAGAAATCTCTCTTTTCATGATTTCTAACTGCAATCCTCTTTTCTATAACTCATATTCTGTTCTCACACTGACTCATTTTGCTGCATATACTTTCAAAGGCATTTTTAATCTGGATATCTGTTTGAATCTGTTTCATAGATTCCCTTTCTTGCTGAGCGCTCATGGTTTCCATCATTTTTCAGAACTCCACTAAGTTTATAATCTGTATCTGCTCTAGCCACTAAGCATGTCTTTTTTTATTTAGAAAAACATTGGTACATTTTAGATATACATAATGGTAATGTTCATCACAGGAAATTTGTATCAGTGTATGATATGTCTTGTTGCTTCTTTTATTTTTCCTCATTCTTCCCTCCCTTATATACTAAAGCTTTGTTTTCATTTTCCCTTCTATTTTCTTTTCTTTCTTTTTTCTTTTTCTTTTTTTTTCTTTTTTTTTTTTTTTTTTTTTTTTTTTTTTTTTTTTTTTTTTTTTTTTTTTTTTTTTTGCTTGTCCCTTTTTTCCTTTCTCCCTTCCTCCTCCCTTGTTCTCCTTATCATTTGAATATTTTTCTTCTCATTTCCCAATATCTGTTGTACATTTTAGTCCTTATTTCCACTTTTGGTTTCTCATACAAGAGAAACATAAGTATTTCTTTCATTATGGTCACCAACTCTGTAGTTATCTGAGAAATTATCAGGGGTTAGCTCAGTGGCACCACCATCTGCCTCATAAATGCAAGGTCCTGAGTTCAATTCCCAGTACTCCCCCCACCAAATACACACACTTACTTCCAGCCTGAGAAGTTATCTTGTTCATCTGCTTTATTACTTTCACTGTTGCCATTTCGGAGAGTTCATGTAAGTGGCTTTCAAATTTTTCCACCTCATTGCCCTCTGAGTTTGCTTTTGGTGAGCTGAAAGTCTGGGATTGCAACTTGTTTGTCTTCTCATTTTTTTTTTTTTCCAGTTTAATTCCTGGGTTGTTGCTTGTAAACTGCTGATGGAGAGTAGCTTGATTACTAGTATTTAGAACCCTTCAGACCCTACTTCTTAGAGATATCTTCCAGGTTTAGCTGGCTTTTAGATTTTGAGTCTATTGCAAGATCCTACCTCTTCAATTTTTTTTTTCCTAGTACTGTGGATTGAACTCAGGACCTTGTGCTTGCAAGGCAGGTGCAGTGCCACTGAGCTAAATCCCTGGCCCTTACCTCTTTAATTTATAGGGGATGAGAAATTGCTGGAGGGGGGAGAAGTTGCATATTTGGCCTATCCCCTGTTTTTTTGGCACTGGCCTATAGTATTTTTTAAGACCCTTGTGCAACCTCAGTCTTGGTATCCCAGGAAGAACAACTGTTTAGCACGATTATGTCACCTTGGCTAAAGTAGTACAATCAGCAATAACAGTAGCAAAAAACACAGCCTAGAAAATGACAAATTGTGGTAACTATTAATTTACCACCTTTAACTTGTATGAACTAGGTTTGTGGTTATATGATAGACTGTAAAACAAATCAGAAAATTATATGCAGTAAATAAGCCCTAATTTGGCAGTTTTACCCTCAGGAAAGAAAATTTAAAGGGGTTGGGAGAAGAAACAGAAATAGGAGAGGAGAAAGAGATTAGAAGCAAGGCTGGAGGACAGAGGAAGAAAACTCAAACTTTGGGAAATTGTTGAAGACGAGAGAGAAGGAAAAAATTAAAACAAGAGCAGAACTGAAAGAGAACAACAGCAAAAAAACTACAAACCATGTTCACACTCATATAAAAACAAAACAATCAAGAAAGAAACAGAAAAGAATAAACAAATGTCCATTTCAAGGCATATCTCTGCTGTTACTGGTAGACAGTATGGGTAGAGTCCACATCTAAATTGATTGATCCCAGCAAGCCAGTCTAGAGTGGATAATCCCAGTAAGCCTGCACCTTTAGTTCCACTGAAGCGCAGGCTTATTTCTGGCTGTGAGGCTAGAACTGGATTTGTTGAATCTGCTACAGTCCATTTCCCTCCTGCCCGCTTGAACTTGGTTCACTCACAGCTTTGGCCCAAAGTGTCCTGCCTGGCATCCAAGCTTAGCTAGCAGTGTTTATCGGTTTGCTTTCTTGTTTATTTGCTTTTCGCAACACTTACCACTCTCCATATTTCTGATCATCATGCTACTCATGCAGTTGGTGTTGATCAAGTTTATAAATTACCAGCTGGTTCTCCCTGTCCCTCTCTTGTATACTGGAGATTGAACCTAGGTTTGGGGAACGGTAGACAAGTGCTCTGCCTCTGAGCTACATCCCAGCTTTAGTAGGTTCTTCCTTTTACAAAAGAATCATTATGTAGTCTCTCTAAATTTTTAATCTATTTACAAAACTGGTGCTTTTAAATGTGATTCTAAAATTTGATTTTAAATTTCACTGATAATCTCTAGAAATATAACTATTGCTTGGTTAGTAAAAATATTAATTTTTTTCCTGTGTTCATGTATATTTTAAACTTTAATGCATTAGATAGTAATAAAAATATCAAAATATTGCTTACTTCTATGAAAAAATAAAGCAAAGTTTCATAACAAAATAATTCTAGAATATCAGTGGCTAATATACTGTGTATCATGTTCTTAAAAGAATGGCCAGAATGTTCCTCAGACTACAAGTCATAAAAAGAGACTCTTAGAAAGAAACAGACTCTTAGAAACAAACAATGGGCTGGGGATTTAGCTCAGTGGCACCACGCCTGCCTCACAAGTGCAAGATCCTGAGTTCAGTCTCTGGTACTGGAAAAAAAAAAAAGTAGAAAAGGGCCAGGGATTTAGCTCAGTTGTTCTTCTGCCTGCCTTGCAAGCACAAGGTCCTGAATTTGATCCCCGGCACCAAAAGAAAAAAAAAAAAAAAAGAAATAAACCAAAGACAAAACTTTTTTTTCAATGGACACAAAACAACTAGTAGTAAAAATGAAACAAATCAGCATTTATCTTTTTTAAAAATCTTTTTTTGGTGCCGGGGATCAAACTCAGGAACTTGTGCTTATGAGGCAGGCAGGCAGCAGAGCTACTGAGCTAAATCTTAGCCCAGCCTTTAAAATACTTTTGAAACAACCTAATAGGTAATTTGGGGAGCTATTTGAACTTCTCTGTGCTTCTCATTTTGATTTTCTCATATAAAAGGAACTATGTAATATTAAGCTTATGTATCTGATGTATGTCACTTAATATTATAGTCTCAAGTTGCATCCATTTGCCTATGAATATCTCAGTTTTATCTTTCTTTAAGGCAGAGTAGTAAGTACTCCATTGTGTATACATACATTTTCTTTATTCATTCATGGGTTGATGGACATATATGCTGTTTCTAAGATTTAGTTATATATATTTTTTAATTAAAATTTTTATCCAGTTAAAAAACATATTAATATTATAGTCTCAAGTTGCATCCATTTGCCTATGAATATCTCAGTTTTATCTTTCTTTAAGGCAGAGTAGTAAGTACTCCATTGTATATACATACATTTTCTTTATTCATTCATGGGTTGATGGACATATATGCTGTTTCTAAGATTTAGTTATATATATTTTTTAATTAAAATTTTTATCCAGTTAAAAAACATATAGTTTAGCTCTTTAACTTTTTTTTTTTTTGGTGGGGGTTTGAGACAGGAGTTTGCTATGTAGCCCAGGCTGGCCACAAACTTACAACAGTCCTCCTGCCTCAGCCTCCCAAGTGCTGGGATTATAGCAGGTGCCACCACATCTGCCTAGGTTTTTGCTTTTTTTGATTTTCAGTAATCAACACTCCACTTCCTGTCCAAAATCAGGGCATGTTCATATCTTGGTAGTGTTTTTAGTGGTAGAGGCCAATCTTGAGGCTTTACCTTCCCTCCTCTGTTCTGCTGTGGTCAGAGGGTCCCATTAATCTTTACCCCCATTTGGGGGTGGGGCATGAGCTGTCTTAAGGGAATTCATGAGCTTTATGATAATTGAAATGACTTATCATTTCCCTATTCCTGCATAGCAGGCCTGGCCTCTTCATGCCTGTTTCCTGGTAGAACAGGTGGATGTGATCAGTCATTCTGTGATGCACATTTCTGTCCTTTACTTCAGATACAGGACTGAGATAGATGAGTATTATGAGATCTTGCTTTGGGGCCAAGTGATGCCCTGGGGATTTTAGTTAGGCTAAATCCATCAAAGATATTAAAAAGAATATGTGAGATCAAGAATTAAATTAGCTCTTGAATTATTGAATGTTCTCCCACAAGATTAGTATTCCATATTTTCATTGCCATTGGGTGCTTACTCTGTGATTTAATGTTTGGGCAGTTTTCCACCTGGACAGAAGAACTGCAGTATACTGACAAAATTATATATCTGGTCTCTGTTGCTTTCTTAGCCAATTCTTTGGAGCCAGCAGGCTTTGTTTATTCCTTGAGAGGTCATCCTGTGGATTTTATTTTCAGGTGATCTTAAAAGGCAGCAAGGAGCGCAGCACTGGGGCCACTGGAGTTAACGCAGATTCCTCCCGCTCTCATGCTATCATTCAGATTCAGGTCAAAGATTCAGCCAAGAGGAAATTTGGCAGGTGAGCTGGAAATATGCAGGGAACTGCACTGTCTGCTTTTCTTCAATGTAGCTTTAAAATATTTGTAATCAACAACAAGACATCTTGTCATCATGGAGTCTTCATTTTTTGGGAAGTAGAGTAGGGTTGTTAGCCTTGAAATAAATCATTGTACTAAAGTGCCATCAGTTGATTAACCATGAAGTAATGACCTATTGTTGGTCAACCCTAAGTTATTAAAAAGGACATTGATTGCTTCTAACATGAAACACAGTATCAGCAGAGAAACAGCAGGGAATGCGTCTCAGAGAGCTTACAGGTCATAAAGAGGTTGGAGGATTAATCCATTCTTGAAAGAAGCCATAAGACAATTGGATATGTTCATTGCTTCTCCAGTACTGTCTTAGCAAACCATGCCACACTGATGGATGAGCCTTTTTCACCCCTGAGTAGTGAGTCTGTTTTATTTTCCTTCCCTTCTCTTTTCTTGTTTTTGTTTTTGTATCGGGGATTGAACTCAGGTCCTCTTCTCTTCTTTTTTTACTTTTCTTTTCTTTTCTTTTCTTTTCTTCTGGAAAGCAGCCCACAGAAGTTTCTATTTAATTATTTAAGTGGTCACCTAAGTGATTTGTATTGTGGTCATTTAGCCACAGGAAGAGAGTACTTTATTAATTTTAGTTGTACTTTCTCATAGATGATTAGAACTGATGGAAGTGTCTGAGAGAACAGTGCCAGCATCACCTGACAGATCAGAAATTTATGATGTTTTTGGGAAATTGACGTGAATGTCTTTTCTTTTCTAAGGATGATCTAGTGTTAATTTCATTCTGAGGTCACAAAATGTTCAGTGGTGTAAAGCTAAATCAAAGCCTTGAGGAAGTAATTCCTGCTGTGTCTTTTCTCTAGGATCTCTTTCATTGACTTGGCTGGAAGTGAAAGAGCTGCAGATGCCAGGGATTCAGATAGACAGACAAAGATGGAAGGTGCAGAAATAAACCAGAGTCTTCTGGCTGTAAGTTGCTTAAAATCTAAAAATCCTTCTTGAGAGATTTTGGCCTGGGCATGCAGCCAGAGTGGGCAGCTGCGGCAGGGTGGGATCTACAGAGCAGTGAGTGTGCTGACCTGGCGGTAGGATTCCAGGGCTGGAGACAGAGCCCACCCTTTGGTCTTGGCCATGCTGGGTAACTGCTCTTTTCTCACCCTTCCCTAACAATTAGGAACAGAAATGTTTCTCCGCTTGTTAAATGATTAACTTATACCTTTCTCCAAATTTAAAATTGTATTCTTCAGGAGAGGGGACAGGACAGTAAGACGATAAAAAAATAATTAAGATACATCATGTACATGTACCAGCTCCCCCTAATGTATATTACTATTATGTACTACAAACACACAGTAATAAAAATAAATAAATCTACCTAAATAATTGTATCCTTCAAACATACAGAAGTATAACAAAAGTATAATGATCCCCCATAATCTTGTCACCCCACTTCAGCAGTTATCAACATTTGAACCTAACCAACCCTATCCTTCCCCTGGTTGGATTACTTTAAAGGAAATTTTAGTCATCATATCATTTCTTCTATAAATATGTCATAATATATCTCAAAGAACACCTTTTTAACATATCCATAATACTATTATCATACATATCTTTTGTCCAATATTATAATTTCTCCTTAGTTCCCATAACTCTTTTTATAGTTGAATTGTTCGAATCAAAGTAGTAACACTATCCTTGTTATCACTTCTTTCTTCTTTTTTTTCTTTCCCCTAGTATCACTGTATTTTTTTAATTGAATTATTTGCCCTGTGAGATTTCCCACCTTCTGCATTTAGCTGGCTAACTGCCTTCCCATGTTGTTTAACATGTTATTCTATCCTGCCGGGTGTGGTGGCGCACCCCTATAATCCCAGCACTAGGGAGGCTGAAGCAGGAGGATCACTGTGAGTTCAAGACCATCCTGGGCTACATAGTGAGTTCCAGGTCAGTCTCAACTACATAGTGAGACACTGTCTCAAAACAAACAAACAAACAAAAAAACATGTTATTCTATCCTGTGTATTTCCTATAAAATGGTTAAAATCTACACTGTGTTGCGCAATGTAGCTAGTCTGAATTGAGATGTGCTGTAAGTGTAAAACACACACTCGATTTTAAAGACTTACTACCCAAAAGAAGCATGCAAAATATCTCATTGATATTTTTTCATATTTATTACATGCTAAAGTAATACTTTGGGTGCAGTGGGTTAGATGAAATATATAATTATCATTCATTTCACTTGCCATTATCCATTTATCCAAGGAGCCTTAAAACTAATGTATTGTTCACATTTACTATATTCCACTCAGTTTAGTTTTCCCAACAACTCTGTGAGGCAAGTTAAGCAAGTTCTCTTTTCCCTACCTTTTAGATAGAGTTTCAGGCAAGGTGAGTTAAATATACTGGCCATGGGTGTATATCCCAACCAAAATTCTTTGATTCTGGTATCTTAAAATCTGATCCAGGAATCAACAATGAATCCTGGAAGAAGCTGAGCATGGTGCTGCACACCTGTAATCCCCACACTGTGAGAGGCTAAGACATGAAAATTACAAGTTCAAGCCCAACCTGGGCAATTTAGTGACTTAGTAACACCCTGTCTCGAATTAAAGGCTGAGGATGTAGCTCAGCATGAAGGCGCTTGGTTCAGTCCTGGAATGAAGGGTGGGGTGGAGAGAAATCTGTAAGGATATACCTATGAAGTCGTACAGCCATTGGGACTTGACTTTATCTGTAGTGTGGAGAGGGGCCTGGGCAGACCTTCTAGAACAGGACCAAAATCTTGTGTTTTGGCCAGGAATAGTAGTACACACCTGCAATTTCAGCACTCAGGAGGCTGAGGCAGGAGGATTGCTATGAGCTCAAGGCCAGCCTAGGCTATATAGTGAGTTCAGTGCGACCCTGTCTAAAAAAAAATCCTGTGTTTTGTGAGGTATAGCAAGGAACTCCTTGTTTCTGTGCTGGATTTTTCCCTTAGCTCCTTCTTAGTGTTTAATAGTTTATTGACCATTCCACTGTAATACACAGAGCTGAAAAGGACCCAAAAGTTCATAGGTATTGGTAGTCACACTTGGATTTTCATATGTAAAGGGCAAGTATAATCTGGGGCAGAGGCTGGTTACCTGTTCATCCATTTTGGAGAATCTTTCTGGCACATTTGGGTTGTTCTTTTGGGTTTTTTTGTTTTTGTTTTTTGGGGTTTTTTGGGGGGGGATTGGTATCATTGGAGAACAAGCCCCCCCCCAGGTTGTTTTTAATAAAGGAAAATATTGCTTTATGCCTTCTTATACCCTCTGCCTTCATGGATAAAAGTGGGATAGGGACGGGCCTCTATGAATGCCACTAAGCATAGCCACAGTAAGCTAGCTCTCTTATGGCTAATTTCCTATTCCGGAAATTCCTATTCCTGTCTGTGCACTTATACTGCCAAGGCATTGCATCCTTCCTCTTCCATCCCTTCCTTTTCGTTTACTGCCTTTTAGCCTAGATGCATGCCTCAGAAAATAGCAGAGCTTCTACCCATCTTTCTTCATTCCCCACTCCCACCACTGTTTCTGATGGGCAGTTGCCCCTGCCAGCCCCAGTGATGTCCACTGAGCACTTATCGCCTTTGCCTCTAGGCCACAATACCCACTCTTTGAAAATAAGGGGTAAACTTAGGTAATTTCTCATTGCCACCTCTGACTCTAGAATTTCTCCTGCCCTACTCAGACAATTTATATCCAAATGCACACTTGAGTGTACACGAACAGGTGTACATGTAGGAAGGCAGGGAAAGGGAGAAGATAAGAACCTTTTTTTGGTACTGGGGACCAAACTCGGTGCCTTGCACTTGCGAGGCAGGCAGTAGAACCACTGAGCTAAATCCCCAGCCCGTGAGACATTTTCTTTACTTTTGTCAGTAGTTAGGATGATTGTAAGGAGAGAAAGGAGGAAGCAGCCCAGAATAGCGGCACATGTGCTTAGACTCTGGGACTCGACAGGTCACTGGGTGTGTCTGTTCCTTGCTACCAATTCAGAACTAGTTCAAGGGTCACAGCCTCTAAATAGGGAGGCCACAGCGAGGCAGAACAGGATGATTTTTCTCTAGTTCACTTGGTTCTACTTATGAACAGAGAATCTAGGGCATTTTGACTTCCTCTCGGAGGGTTGCCTGAGTGTGGTTTATTTTAGAAAAATAAGCTTCTTGTGGATGTAGCGTCAGACCTGTTACTCGGTTTGCATGTGATGTTTGATTCTCTCATTTTGCAGCTGAAGGAATGTATCCGAGCCCTGGACCAGGAGCACACCCACACTCCCTTCAGGCAGAGCAAACTAACTCAGGTAAAGCTAAACATGAGCCTTCATGAGCTATATTAAACCTCTCCTTAAAAGAAAAAGTCAACCTTGAGTTTGTTCTGGTTTATTCATTTTCCTGCTTCTATTCCTTTGTTCATTCAGTAGGGGCACCTCTGCTCTTCTGGTCACCACCTTCCTCTTTATTTCCAGGTAAAGAAACCTATTGCCAGTTGTGATGGCACCTGCCCACAGTCTAGTTACCCCAGAAACTGAGGCAGGAGGACCACTAGAGCCTCAGTTTGAGACCAGCCTGGGATACATAGCAAGATCCCATCTCAAAAAACAAAAATAAAAGAAACAAACAAAAAAATAAAACTTTATTATCTAGGCCCAGAGGTACATACCTATAACCTCAGCACTGGGGAAGGCTAAGGCAGGAGGACCACAAGTTCAAGTCCCACCTGGGCAACTTAGTGAGACCCTGTCTTAAAATAAAAATGTTTTAAAAGGAACTGGGAACCGGGTGGTGTTACACACCTATAATCCCAACAGGGGAGGCTGAGGCAGGAGGATTGCTGTAAGTTTAAAGTGAGTCTGAATTGCATAGCAAGACCCAGTCTCAAAAAAAGGGGGGGAGAGGAAAATTATGCAAGTATTAACTGATTATTCTGCATAGTAGAAATTTATTCTCGTCATATTGAGACAAGGTCTTGCTATGTAGTTCAGACTCATCTTGAACTCACTATGTAGCCTGGGCTGGCCTCAAACTCACAGTGATCCTCCTGCCTCAGCCCTGAGTGCTGGGATCACAGGCGTGCGCCACCACTCCCAGTCTTTCTTCTGTTTTCTGTCATGAAAATGTCTGGAAAGCACCAGTAGGTATTAAATCAGCATCTATAGTGGCTGCTAAAACGTGTCATGGTAAGTAGTCTGCCTAGGTGCACATATCTGTGGTGACCATTATGTCTCCTAGGTTCCTTTCAGCACCATGTCCTGTGCACAGTGTAGGCCAGATGAGGTAGAGGGAGGCCTAGGAGGGGATCTTTATAGGACCTGAGGCAGAACCTCTCTGTCTGTGATTGTCAGAATTGGTGATCTGTGGGTTAAATTACGTCTTCTCAAACATGATTTCTCAAGCCAGGGACCCAGAAATCTGGGTCGTTAGTCCTAATTCTGATGTTGGCCTTATTATTATTAAAACAAGTTCCCATGCCCAGAAAATGTGTTCCTATTTAATTAAAGAACAGTAATTCCAACAAGTACAAAGAAAAGGTTAAAGTTACCTTAAAGTTCTACTGCTCTCCAGTGGTAACTGCTGCCACATTTTAGTGAGCATCTCTGCCCATATATCCATACATAGGTCCACTTGCATCATGGAATCATTGTTTTACCATTAAAAGATTTGTTTTTAAATATATTTCCATGTTCCTAAGTATAGACATGCATAATCATGTTAATGATTATATGGTGTTCAATTTATAACTAGTTTGGTTTATAGATTCCTATATTGTCTAACATGTGTTATAAATAATAATATAATTAATATCCTGTGCATTATTTTGTCTTTTAATCAATGAGCAATTATCTCCTTGGGATAAAGTCATAGAAGTTGGGTGTAATGGCACATGCCTATAATCCCAGTACTTGGGAGGCTGAGGCAGGAGGAGTGGTGTAAGTTTGATGCCAGCCTGGGCAACAGCATGAACTACATCATAGTGAGACCTTGTCTCAACCCCACCCCCCACCCCCCAAAAAGATAAAGTCCTAATGTCCGTATTCTTTACCTTTGGTTACGTATTGTCAAACTGCCCTCTGGAAAGCTCACACCAGGTCATGGTATGTGACATACATCAGTGTTGGAAAGTGCTCATTTCCCTGGCCCTTCACTAGGACAGGGTAACTTTAGTCTTTATGGGTAAAAAATACTATTTTTGTAATGGTTTGCATTTCTTTGATTAGTGAGGTGAATACCTTTTTGTTTATTCGTCATTTTTTTTTTTTTGAGTTGTCTTTGTGTACACAGGTTACTGTGTCTTTTATGGCCCAGTGTTCTACTCATAGTAAGTAGTCGAGGCCGGGCATGGTGGCGCACACCTATAGTCCCATCACTCAGAAAGGTAAGACAAGAGGATCACCACAAGTTGGAAGCCATCCTGGGCCACATAGTGAGTTCAAGGCCATCCTGAACTATATAGCAAAACCCTGTCTCAAAAAAAAAGTAATCAAAATGCCCTTGTCAATTGACTTCATTCATTGACCTGCCTTCTGGTTTGGACAGGTCCTGAAGGACTCCTTCATTGGCAATGCCAAAACTTGCATGATTGCTAACATCTCACCAAGCCATGTAGCCACCGAACATACTCTGAATACTTTGCGCTATGCTGACCGGTAAGTTGGCTCCCAAATGGTAGGGAGGGTGGGTGTGGGTGTGTGTGGGTGCGCGCACGCATGCATGTGCATGCATGTACCACCAGTACATCTCTCACACACATAAGCATCTGATATTGAACTCCACAACCCTCTTCTTGAAGCAGCTGGTGATTTGAAGAATTTAGTAGGCTGTGCTTTTGCAAGCATGATGAGATCTCTTAACTCCTGGTCAAGCCTCTTTCTGGGATGACTTTGGCATCTGCAGACATCCCTCCCATCTTATGTTGTGTCCACGTGTGTCTCTTACGGTTGCTAAGATATTGTCTTGACAAGGAGAGGTACTACTGGTATCTAGTGAGTAGAGACCAAGGATGCTACTAGACATCCTACCATACACAGCATAGCCCCCTACAAGAAAGTTAACTGATACAAACTGTCAGTTGTGCTAAAGCTGAGAAATCCTAGGGCTAGACAAGTCATTTTTCCCTTAATAGAATTTGCACAATCCTGCTTGTTTCTGGAAGCTCTGCTTCCTGAAATATCTAGCAGGTTTAAGGGAACTCATTTTCCCAGAGGAGCCTGAAAGAGGTGGTTTGTGGGAAAGAGGGCTTTGTGGAATTGCAGGTGAGTAGCAGATATGAACTTATGAGCTGGTCCATCTTTAGGACCTTATACAAACATAGCGCAATTACTGAGATTCATGTCCCCATCTTGTCCCTCATGTAGAGTTGTAGTAATTTCCAAAACTTCTGATCATGAATGCTGGCTGCATGCTTATATCCTCAGAGAAGTTACTGCTTTTTTAATTCAAATATAGAGGGATAGTTTATACTAAAATAGAATATACTCTTTTCCTCTTATTTTCTCCCAAATAAAAACTCCCAATCCTTATAATGTTTTTGCTGTTTTTGTTTCCCTGGAAGCTATAAAACCTACAAGAATACACATTTAACATTCAATGGTTATTTACAGGGTCAAAGAACTAAAGAAAGGCATTAAGTGTTGCACTTCAGCTACCGGTCGAAATCGGATATCTGGAAATGCCTCTCCAAAGCGAATTCAGAGCTCCCCTGTAGCCCTGCCAGGGGACAAGTGTTCTCCAAAGAAAGTCAAGTTGGGGTGTCAGCAGGCAGTCACAGTGACACCTAGCTCCACAAGAGGAAAGGCCTATCCTCTGGCTAGCCACCCACCAAACATTCCTTGTGCTTCTGTACCCAAAGTCCCTGGTAAAAGGGGTAGCTCCAGAGGCAGTCCTCCCCAAGAGTGGGTCACGCAGACCAGCCCTGTCAAAGAAACTGTACGGTCTGTACATTCGGCCAAAAGGGCAGAAGAACTGGCACTATTGTGCTTTGAGAAAAATCAAATTGGCACCAAGACTGCACTTGGGTGGGGGCGTAGGGCCTCAGGCACAGAAGGCCTGACACATGGTAAGCTGTCCACCAAGTGCAAGAAGGTACAGACTGTGCAGCCAGTACAGAAGCAGCCTGTGTCACGAGTTGAACTGTCCTCTGGCAAAAACCACCACTTAGCAGAGGGTGAGCAGGGCAGCAAGGCAGGCACATCTGCCAGGCCTGCCACTGAAGCTTGGACAAACATCCCTCCACATCAGAAGGAAAGGGAGGAGCATTTGCGTTTTTATCACCAGCAGTTCCAACAGCCACCTCTCCTTCAACAGAAGTTAAACTACCAACCACTGGAAAAATTTTTATGCCAATACAGGTCCCCACAGGATCAGCTCCAGAACGAGACTCCTCCTCCTTTTCATGCTTGCTCTGAGAGCCAGGATGGAGCTCAAGTCGAGGACCTGGATGACAGTGACTTCAGTGAAGATTCTTTTTCACATGTCTCCAGTCAAAGGACTACAAAGCAGAGGAGCACCCTGGAGAAGAGTGAAAGCTCATTCTTCCTTCATCAGAAGGGGGAGCAGAGTCCAGATGGGCAAGTGACACAAAGGCAGCAGAGTCTGTTTTTTAGCTCAAGGACAGATGATGATGAGAGAGGGCTAACTGAAAGCTGGATATGTTCCAGGGACCCCGTCAGCCACAGGAGAGTAGCATTCACTCATCGCCACAGCCCAAGTAAGGTGCACTTGGACTGGAGCCAAGAAGGCCGTGCCTCCTCAGAGCCATCTCCTAGAGACAGTCTGGTAGGGCAGCCTTCCTGCTCACAGGTAGATTTTGTATACACCCAGAAAAGAAGTGATGGACCTGCCATTTTCAGACAGGATGCCTTCAGAAGTGAGGTTCCTGAAGAAACGGAGGGCAGCTTGCCATCCCTGGAAGATGGTTTCTCTTTATCACACATTGCAGTTCCTGGATCCCCAGACCAAAGAGACATAGATTCCACACAAATGAGAGAGGTCAGTGAAGAGACCCCCACCCAGGTGACCAGAACAGCAACAAAGAATAATCCTTTTCAAGAAGACCCTAGAGAGCAATTAGACACATGCTCTGAATATGCTTCTGGACTAATGGCTCCCCTCACCATCTCCCTCCTAGAGACTCCAGATGATGGCCATTCTGTGGAGCAGTTGGCCCAGGATGGGGCTATGCACAGTCCAGTGGCAGAGAGCACAGGGTTACCAGCTGTGGGCCATACAGTATTATCCGGCAACCCAGAGGCAGCCTTGCCAGTGTCTTCAGCCACTGGACACCTGTGGCTCTCCTCATCTCCCCCCGACAACAAGCCTGGTGGTGATCTGCCGGCTCTGTCCCCATCGCCCATTCACCATAATCCACCTGACACGCAGCCTGTTGGGGAGGGTGACCAGAGACAGGCCTGCCAGAGCAAAGAGCCTGCACTCTTCTCCCAGGAACTTGGCAGTGAGCAGTATGATGCTGATGTTGAGGAAACGGGGCTGGATGGTTGCTGGAGTTTGCCTGGAAAGCCCTTCTCTACCACACAAACTAGGGTGCACCATTCTGGATCTGTACTCACTCCGCAAACAGGAAGTTGTGATGTAGCTGGTCAGCCCTGGGCCCACAATAGCAAACATCTTCCATTGCTCAGCTGGCAGCTTGGTTTATCTACAGACCCCATCAGGTTGCCTTGCAACAATGAAGACATCACATGGCTCAAACGCAGGCCCATTTCAAGATACTTGGTATCACCCGACTCTCTCCTGGTTCCCAGCTACTCTGCTAAGACTGCAGGGATACTTTGTCAGCCCACCCTGGAGCAAGCACAGTAAGTTGAACTTTCTCCCTAAAATTTGAGCCCCACAGCCAGGCTTTGTGGCACACAATTCCAGCACTCTTGGAGGCTGAGGCAGGATGATCACCAAGTTCAAATCCAGCTTAGGCAACTTACCAACTCACCAAACCTTGCCTCAGAAACAAACCAAAAAAAAAAAGATGAGTCCGTTTGGTATCCCCAGTTAATACTGCCACTCCAGGTGGACAGTGTCACTGCTCCATGGTGTCCACTCGTGATTCTTCAGCTTCTACGTCATATTTCCTGCTGTGATCCTAGAAAGCAGGTCTTGTGTCAAGTATGCCACTGTAGTAGTCACAGCCTTGACAGATGTTCTCAGGGAAGCTGTGCGAGACAGGGAACTCCTATGGAGGAGGAACGCCCAGTCCTGTTCCCTAGCATAGCTGCAGAGGTGGGTGCAGTTTGAGAAGTCCCTATCTTCCTGTAACCCTTGACTAGTCCTGAGAAAAGAACAGGAGAGGGAAGGGGTGGTGAACCAATCCTGGGAAAATCCTTGACCACTTTGGGCAGAGGCAGCTCCCAACCTAGAAACGAGTCTCAATTTCAGAAAGCTGTCACTGAGCAGAGGGGAGACCAGGAGGATCACAGTTTCCTCTCTGGTGTTCTCAGGCAGGTGGTTATCCGTGCTCACCAGGAACAGCTGCATGAAATGGCTGAGTTGGGCTTCAAGGAAGAGACTCTTATGAGCCAGCTGGTTTCTAATGTAAGTAGCCTTGACAGGACTCAGGCTGCTGGGAATTAGCCTGTGGGTGGTTTGATGGTCGCATGTGCTGTGGTACTTGTCGGTAAGGTTCTCCTGTGCCTCCTCTTACCACTCCTGACAGCTTGAAAGGGTCCAGGTACAGGTGGGAGATGGTGCCCCACTGCTGACTCCCAGGCTGGAAACTTTCCAGCCTGTCCTTACCAGCCATGTCTTCCCTGTGGCTTGTTGGGACTCCTCCCTGTGGTTTTAACAGTAACCAACTTGCTTCCTAGGAAATGAGACCAGAGGCACTCCTACCTAAGTGTCTCAAAGGCAGAGAAGTGGGCCCTCCCCAGTAGTTAAGCAACTGTTCTACAGGTTTTCCAGTGGGAGGCGGGTCCTGAACTCTGAAACTTTTCTGCAAATAGGGGGACTAGAAAAGATGGTCTGCTGAGGACCAGTAAAAGTTCAACTTGTCCTTTATTTCCTTTCTCAGGACTTTGACAGTTTTGTCACCCAGCTGGATGAGATCATGGTTCTGAAATCCAAGTGCATCCAGAGTCTGAGAAGCCAGCTGCAGCTGTACCTCACCTACCAAAGGCCCTGAAAGCAGCGCTGTATTAAAACAAGGTCATATCCCAGATGGTGGGGGCAGTATAGGAGGGGCCTATGCCAGGCTCTTATGGGCTGAGGCTTCTGCCAGTTCTTCTGTACACACACCAGAATTTGCTCCCTATGGCCCAGGGTTCCTCTCTCAGTGCCAGCCCTCTATGCCTCCTTAGTTCAAAGCTTAGGAGCCTCTCTATAAGAAAGGACCAAGTTGATGACCTTATTGGCCTTCACTTTGTTTGGAGGTCAGAGCATCTGCTTTACTGATCCTGACTGTGGGAGCACATTTGGGGTAGTAACTCTGTACGTGTTCCTAATTTTGAGGACTACAGAATGACGTGGTTAGTGGTAACCTACAGGTTCGAAGTCACAAGCTAGGGATAACAGGCTGAACTCAGGGGCTGAATTATTTGGTGTACACTGGCCAAAAGCTGGGGATTTGGCTCAGTGGTGTTACTGCCTGCCTCGCAAAAGGTCCTGAGTTTGATCCCTAGTAAAAAAGTAAACTTGGGCCAAAATCTAAAACATTGGTGCTAGTAGGGCAGCAGTGGGTTGAGCTGTGCCCTATCTGCTCTCAGAGATTTCATTTTCAAAAATTTAACATGAATAAACCTTGACTTGATGTGTCCTTAACAGCAGATGTGGGTCAGGCCTTATGCTCTTCCTTCCTGCAATCCAGTTTTGAGATAGAAGAGGGTACCCACATCACTGCATTTTTCTTATCCTATCTTTTGCTGAGGCAACAATGCCTGTTAGCCCTCTGCTTCTGTGGCAGTCCTGGCTCCTGATTCTTCACTTCTTGTGCCTTCACTGAAGAGCTAGAGGATTGCTGGCAAGTCCATCCCCAGGGCGTATCTAGGACACCCTCGCTGGCCACTGCCTCACTCTCAAGGGCCAGTATCCTTGCCTGAGTGCTCTAGTCACTAGAAGTCTCTGATGACAAATTCGCCTAAATGCTGCTGTTCATAGCAGAAAGCTTAAGGAAAGGCCACCCCAAGTCAGAGATCCATGGATCAGGCCTTGAAACCCATTATTGTGTGAACATTAATTTCTTTCAAGTAAAGAACTTTTTTAAGGTTTTAAGAGGAGGAATTTAACTAAAAGGCCAAGCACTAAATGGTTGTTCCCTGGAGACTGAAGCAGCCACTTTGTCTCAGGTGGTGCTTAGTTTGACCACCAGAGGGCAACTTGCTTCCAGCTTCAGGCCCTCACTTGATCACTAAACATGAGGACGCCTGTCCCTGCCAAAAGTCCCAGAGGGCAAATGAGATGAAGTATTAGGGATTAAAGTATTAAGAAATTTTAGGGATATATTTTGTGGGATACAACAGCACCACTGAGAGCTAGGGAAGCACTTTAAACCCAGTCCTGCCCGTGACACAGGGAATATAAATGTCTGGTACTGCTCACAGGGAAAAAATTGTTTTTCTCATTTCCTGTGTGACTCTCCTAAAGACCCAGCCTATCCTGCCTCCAGTTAGCCTGGCAGGAAGGCATACAGCTTTGGCCTGGAGACAGAATTAGGTCATGTTTAAACAGGTCCTTGTTTGGGCCTGCCTTGTAAAGCAAAAACCCAGAGCAGACTAGAGGGCCAGCTCTTGGGTCCCATACTGCACCTAAAGTTGGAAGTAAGTACTGAAAATGGTTAGGTCCTGTTCTAGTCCCGGGAAATCCCTTTACCATCCACTTGCCCATCCACCCTGCTCCATAAAACACCCCTTGACAATAAAGAAGATACTACAGCAGGAAGTACCCTTTAAATTTTTATTTGTTCTCTCTGAAGAATCAAAATAGTTAGCAAATTATTTTAGATTCATGAAGACTGTATATCCTTTGTATTTAGATCTTTAATGATATACAACATAATACAAAACAAACCAAAGATGATTTCTATGCCTAGGTGTGTTACTTGTGTCAACCTAAAGCAGGGCTGGCGGCGACTGTTCACAGAGAACTGTGGGCGTGTTAGTGCTCGGTGACTTAAGTCGTGGCCTGCTTTTTCACCCATTCAGTTGTGCTGGGAAGAGGGGTCAACGATTACTGAAACTGGCAATGGTATACTAAAGCAGGAGCTCTGAAGCCCTGGGCAACAGAGGATTGTGGTCCAAACCATACTGAAAGAAACAGTCTGGACAAAAAAAAAAAGCATGGTGACTGCCTGGCAGAAGAGGCAAACTCAGCCCCTGGGAAAAGTGCATTCTCTGTACCTCACAGACATTGCAGAACCAGTGTTAACTAAGACTTTGTTAAAAGGCAAGGAAATGAACAAAACCCTGGAAGAACCTTTCACTTCCACTTGGATTAAAGTTAAGTGCAGACAAAAGGGGAAGCTTCTACCCTCAAAGCAGCATTGAGTCCGGCCCTCCCCTTTTCTCTCCACTCTTCTTGGCAGCCAAGCTAGGTTCTGGCTGAGGGCACAGAGACCCCAGAAAGACCCAGGTAGTCTATCTGGAGGGCCAAGGTGGGAAGGACACTTCTTAAAATACAAATAAATTTAATATGGAAGGAGCCAGGATGGGTCTGGGGCATTAACATGCCCAAATCTTCCCTACTTTCTCTCCAGCTCAAGACCTAGGCTCACAGAGACTGGCAAGCAGAGACTCCACACCTGACCTTCTAACCCCCAAAAGAAAATTGGGAAGTGTGCCCCTTCTCCTTCCCCACAGGTGGGCTCTGCAGGGCCTGGTGGTGGTGGTGGGGGGGTGGTTCCGTGGCAGGGCCTACAGGCAAGGCCTGGTCTCAGCTGGCTCCAGCCCGAGTCATGAGGTCTTCCAAAGCATTGTCCTGGTCATTGTTGTGTAATAGCAAAGCTTCTTTAATGTCTTTCAGCTCAAAGCCCATTTCCTTAAATTTGCTCATCAACTGAAGAAACTCCATCATCTAAAGAGCAGAAGAGAATACAAACTAAAGGGTCTAGTTACACAGCACATCTGAATGTAGAGGTGGCTTTGGGGGTAAAAGAATCCAGCACAGACTAATCTGATGCCCCAGCCCAATATCCTTCAGGAGCATGTTCTGTCCCAGCCCATTCTTGCTGACCTTGTCTGGGTCCCACTACCATACTTCCACCAAGGCAGAATACTGAACTTCAAAATGGCAGTTTTCTGGGGAGTAAGGTAGGAAAAGAGACTAGCAATGGCCCAAGTCATCCAGAAGTTTGGCTTTTTCCCCCAAGTTTCCCTTCACTGATAATCTAGGTATCTTTAAACCAATGCCTCATTCAAGCCAACCAGCCCTTAATCCGCTGGTTATCTGTGAGACTCTACATTTTGACTGTTTTTGCCTAGTCACTGGTAAGGAAAGGGGGCTGTGAGGCAGGGGTGAAAACCAGGACTACTTTGTCTCTTTTCCAGAGGATTCCCATGAAGCAGAAAGGTTCTCACCTTTTCTTCTGAACACTGGTGCATTTCCAGAGCCTCTTCCACTAAAAGGGGGTCAAAGCCCTTCTCACAAAGCTGTCCATGTGCAAAGAGATAGTCAAGAATCTAAGAAAAGACAGAAGAGGTTACAACACCTACCGCCATACTGCTGTGCTTCACAGAGTCAAACAAACCAGCGAGTGTGAAATCTATTCCCCGCCCCAATCCATCACATCCTGAATAGGGCTTGATTTTTGTACCCTGAACTGCCTAGCACCCTATAAACCTCAGTAACTACTTGAACAGGCAGGCACATTCTTCTAAATAAGTGGCCATTTTCCAAAGGATGTACTGCCAAAGTTGATGCAGGGCTCTAAGAAATAACACAGGTAAGAAAGTGTTCACACCAGGCACAGCGGCGCACCCCTGTAATCCCAGCACTCGAGGCTGAGGCAGGAGGATCACTAAGTTCAAGACCAGCCTGGGCTACATAGTGAGTTCCAAGTCAGTCTCAACTACATAGTCAGACCCTGTCTCCAAAAAAAAAAAAAAAAAAAAAAAAAAGTGTTCCCCAGGTACAGGACTCCAGCATCTTATTATCTTATTTAGAACTCCCTGGAAAGCCGTGACAAGATAAGCCTTTCTAGGAGATATCTGACCATATGCCTACTTCTGGCCTCTGGAGGGGCAAAGGAAGGGATTAGTTTGGATGACAAAAAATTTTGTTATTGTTACCAGGGATTGAACTCAGTCAGGACCTTGTGCTTGTGAGGCAGGCAGCAGCACCACTGAGCTAAATCCCTGGCTGGATGAGTCTTAACAGCACTACTATTCTAGGCCAGTGGTGGCAAACCTATGGCACATGTGCCACAGCTGGCTGTTTGTTATCACTGAAAGCTGTTCTACAAGGCTTTCCCTCACCCCAAAGAAGTGGTGCTAATAAGGCTACTCGTTTCCCTGAGAAAACACTCTGAGTCCCCACAAACCCATAGGAGAGGAGACCGGTGCTCCAATTCTGCAGGGCTGTAGGACAGAAGCAGATCACTACTCCAGCTCCAGGGGTCAAATGCTCTTCTGGCTCACCAGCTACCCATCTGCAGGCCAACCACTCACCTGTTCAATATTTTCTCCTTTCTTCTTCATGGCTCTCAGGACACACTCATATGAATAGCCCATGTTGACCACTGTCTCTACACACTGCCTCTCACTGGGAGACAGTGCTTGAAGTTCAGGATAGGCCTGGGGACAGCAGGGTGTGTTGGGCACTTGTGACACTGAGAAATTCGGAGGGGTGACCTGGTGGTGGCAAAACAAGAGGATCAAATTAAGAAGACCTGGGCCACAGAAAACATGTCACTCAGGTGGCCTAATCCAAGAGCTTTCCTCTTCAAACTTCTAATCTAACAGTCTATTTGGAAGAAAACCAGGCTGCTGGTGAGACAAGAGGCATGACCAGAGCTAGAAGGTATCAGCCAAGGGAGAGAAATGTTTCATTCATCCTGCCTTGCAGAATGAGAGCGCACACAACAACCATGTGCCTTGTTATGCCCTGATCTCTAGTTTTAAGAAGTTTTGAGGCTACCAAAGGACTGATGCTTAAGCTGTCAGTGATTTCTTTGCTAGGCTCCACTTACGATCCCTTCCTAGGTCACTGTATCTCAGAGTCCTGAAGGGATCACTAAACTATGCCCACTCTGGTCAAAGTCTCTCTTGTTTCTATCACTGGTCTGGGCAAAGGATGCAAGTACTGTTGCCAGACAAGGCCAGCTCAGGGCCTCAGGGTTTTAAGAGGACTCTCGCCTTTGCCCCACATCTCATGCGCCATTTCCCGCTGAAGCTGCTGGACAGAGGAAGCCAGGACACAGGAGTAGAAGTAGCCACACTAGGCTGGAATGTGGATTCCATGGACCTGTCAGTCTGCTAAGCTGACTACAGGCAGCCTGCTCCCTACCACTGGTCCTTCCCAGCCCTCATCTGACTTATGCAGAGATTCCTGTTTTGTCCTTCCTACCACTTACAATGAGTCAAGCCAAAGGACCCTTCCACCATGGGAACAAAATCACAGTCTTCTCTATAGTTTGGCTCTCAAGAACCAAAGAAAATGCTTCATAATTTTTTTTAAAATCTGGGAGGTTTAGGCAGTAGAGAACCCTCTTTCAGAAGCAAGTTCAAAATGGCATTGCTATAACCAGTTACTCTTCTCAACTACTAGGGAATCCCAGAAAGACTACAGGCCTTCAAGCCCATTCTGTTTCTACTTAATCATCTTACCCAAAACATGCTCTTAGGAGCCAAGTCATAGGGCTGTCAACAGGTTACAGGTCTAATGACAGGGACAGGCAGTGCAGACCACTCTGTAGTCTCTGACACTATATACTCAGGGACAAACTACCTGGGCTCATGAAAACCAGCATGCAGCTGGTGTGGTGGCAACCTGTATTCCCGGCTACTCAGAAGGCTGAGGCAAGAGAACTGAAGTTCAAGCCCAACCCAGGCAACAGTGAGATCTTGTCTCAAAAGAGGGCTGAAGATGTAGCACCTCTGGTTTCAATCCCTAGTATAGCCACCCACCCAGAGAATACCAATATCCAAAGAGAATGTCAGCTCTCACAGGATGAGCCCAGCCAGAACTGGGATGTGGGCATATGCTTCTTTTAAAAACTCCATGTTAAGAATTTCCACCTGGTAATCCATGGCTATACCTCCCTGAACATGCCTGGTTCTAGAAGCTATGCAGGGTTGGGCCTGGTGAATACAGTATGTGGGTGAGAGACCTCCCATGAACTATCAGGTGTTGTAAAGTTTAAACCAGCTAACATGGTAATGAACATCTGTAATCCCAATACTTGGGTAGCTGAGGCAGGAAAACTATAGTGAATTCAAGGCCAACCTAGGCTATAAAGTGAGTTCAAGGCCAGCCTGAAACACATAACAAAATCCTATCTTAAAAATTACATATTAGGGCCGGGTATGGTGGCACATGCCTGTAATCCTAGCGCTCAGGAGGCTGAGGCAGGAGGATTACTGTGAGTTTGAGACCAACCTGGGCTACATAGTGAATTCCAGGTCAGTCTCAACTACATAGTGAGACCCTGTCTTCAAAAAAAAAAATTATATATTAGGGCTGAGGATTTAGCTCAATGGCACTGTGCCTGCCTCACAAGAACAGGTCATGAGTTCAATCCCCAGTACCAAAAAAAAAAAAAATATATATATATATATACACACACACACACACACACACACACACACACACACACATTATATGAAATATACATAGTGTATACATATACATGTGTATGTGTGCATGCATATAGATAACTGGGGGGTTGCCACGGGGACTATTAGTTCAGAATGGCCTCTCAGAGATCAGCCTGACTCAGCTTCCCAAGTGCTGGAATTTCAGGCATGTGCCACCACGCCCAGCTGTATATGTATATGTGTGTGTGAGAGAGGTGTTTTTTGTTTGTTTAACGTGCAGAATTCTCAAAAATACTCTGTTGGGAGAAGTGTTTATCTGACACTCTAGGTGAATCTGGCATGGGTAAAGTGTGAAAAGCATTCAGATTCTTCTATCTAATTGTGTACTTCTAGGGAAAATGCAAACTAAAATCTATGTATACAAATGTTTATCACAGTATAATACATACTAAGGACAACCTAAATATTCAACATAAGGCATTAGGTAAATAATTAAGTCATGTAAAATGACATTTAGTGGGGCTGGGAGTATAATAGCTCAGTAGTAAAGTTCATGTTCAGTAGGTGCAAGGCATTGACTTCAATCCCCAGTTTAATAATGAACAAAATTAAGTTCTCTGTCCAAATTTCAGTGTTTGAGAGGAAGATTTGGGGATGATGTAAATATTACTGTTTCAAAGCCTCCAGAGTCTGGGCACACTCCTGGGCTTCAGAAGGTGGCAGTTCTTTCTGTACGTAGCCTTTTAAGTCCTACCTCAGTTAAGACAGCTAGTTCTTCTGCCAAGACTTCCCAGAGGCCTCTTTCCCCTGGTACTAGAAGCTGTGTCAAGTACAAGCATACCACACGAGGCAGGCATTCCTATTCCATTCTGGTCACACTGGCAGCAAATAGCACAGTATCAACTCCTAGACACTAGTTACTATGTCACCAACATTTCTCAATCTCCAGGGCCTAGCTTTCAGCTTGAATTTGTGCTGATCAGTTGTACAATAAATGGACGCTTATTTGGATTATGGGTGGGGGTGTCACTATGTTGTCCAGGCTAGCCTTGAATTCAGGATCATTCTGCCTCATCCTCCTGAGTAGATGGAATTAACAGGACACCACATCTAGGTCTGTTAGGATTTTAAAAGGCGGGATTTCATTTGATATGGGAAACTTGACCAATATCTTGACCTCTTCTAAAATGGTAAGAACAGAGGGCTGGGGATTTAGCTCAGTGGCACCATGTCTGCCTTGCAAGCACAAGATCCCAAGTTTGATCCCCAGTACCAAAAATAATAAGAAAAGAATTAAAATTATATACATTTAAGGTCAAAGAAAAAAGAGAGACAAGGATCAATGAATTTCATTGAAATCTTCTACCCCACCCCACTGGTACTGGAGATCAAACTCAGGACCTTGTACTTGCAGTGAGGCAAGTGTGGTGCTACATCCCCGGCCCTTCAATGAAATCTTAGGAAGTAGGAACGCTCATGGAAAGATGGTTACTGGCAGAAGTGATAAATTATTAAGATATGTTATACACATGTACCAACACCCCATTAAAAATGTAATCATTATGTACCTCAAACATATAAAATTAGTACTTAAACAAAAAGAAACAATAAAGTTAAAAAGTAAGCAAGTAGGAAAGAGAAATGTAGGCCTCAGGACCCCTAAGCAGTCATCAGACCCTAAAGTATCAGGAATTACGGAAATAAACCAAAGCACAAAGTCCATGATCAGAACTTAAGGATACACTGCAGGAGGTAAAACAGAGAAAACAGAAAAGGACAGAAATTTAGACCCCCTCTGCAGGAGGCAGAAAGTTCAGATTTTTAAAGAATGTGAATCAGAGACCTAAAGACACCAGACACAGTGTACAGCAGAATGAGGACTAAAACTACACTAGCCTTCCCCAACCTTCGTCAGCCTCAGGCAGAATTCTCTAGAGAAACTTAATTTTCAAGACCTTCACATGATGTTTTGGGGGGGGGTCTCCCTCAAAGTAAACTTTTAACCTCTACTGATGTTTAATGATCAGCAGTACACTCCCAATTCACATTAGTTTTTGGGTTTTTTAGTGTCTCGTTCTTAAGCATGAACAGAAACCCAGACCCAGCAAAACAGATTACACCAAACCATAAGATGAAACAGACTTGGAAATTTAAAATATAATGAATATTTAAAAACAAACAATGTTGAGTTGGTGATTTAGCTCAGTGTCACTGCACCTGCCTCGCAAGCACAAGGTCCCGAGTTCAGCCCTGGTACCAAAAAAACAAACCAAACAAACAGATGTTTTAAGAGTCAAGGATAGGGCTGGGGATGTAGCTCAGTAGTAGATTACTAGCATGCATGAGGCCCTGGGTTCAATTTACACCACTACCAGCAGCAAAAAAAAAAATCAAGGATATATTGCTGGAAGCAAAACAAAAGGATAAAAAATCAGACCCTCAATCAAGGAGATCCAAACATCTAGGATATAGGAAGTCTAACAAAAGAACAGAGAAAAATATCAACGAAATAACAAAGAAAAAATTTCCCAAGATATAAAAAGTGGGTTGATCCTCAGTTTGGAAAGACCCAGGAAGGCCCAATACAATCAATAAAGGTTTATCACCAGTAAATTTCAAATCTCCAGATATGAAGAGAAAAAAATCCCAAAAGCTCCCAAAGGTGGAGGTGGAAGGGAAAAAAACAGACTTCAGAATAACACAAATACTTTAAAAAAAAAAAAAATCAATAGAACTTGTACTTTTTTTTCCTTTTTTAAAAAAAGAATCTTGTTATGTAGCCCAGGCTGGTCTTCAACTCACAACCTTCATGCCTTAGTCTCCCAAGTGCTGCAATTACAGGCATATACCATTACACCTGGCTTCTGCTTCAATTAAAAGCTCAAATTAAGAAAAGTACAAAAAGGGCACGCCTGTAACCCAGCATTCTGGGAGGCAAAGGGAGGAGGATCACAAGTTTGAAACAAGCCTGGACAACTTAGCAAGAGCCTGCTCAAAAGAAGGGCTGAGAATGCAAATCAGAGCAAAGGCCCTAGGTTCAAGATGCTGGGCCACAAAAAAAGAGAAACAAAATAGGTACAAAGAAACTATGTACA